ACCGTCCATCTGCAGTCTTTATTTATTTTTTCATTGGAATATAGTTGATTTACAATGTTGTGTTAGTTTCAAGTGTACAGCCCAGTGATTCAGTTATGCAATACATATATATATATATATATATATATATATAAATCTATTCTTTTTCAGATTCTCTTCCATTACAGGTTATTATAAGATATTGAATATAGTTCTCTGTGCTGTACAAGTAGGCCCTTGTTGGTTATCTATTTTATATATAGTAGTGTGTACATGTTAATCCCAAACTCCTAACTTAGCCCTCTCCCTCATCTGCAGTCTTTTTACTTATTTATTTGTTTGTTTGTTTGTTTATTTTGGTTGCGTTGGGTCTTCATTGCTGCATGCGGGCTTTCTCTAGTTGTGGCGAGCGGCGGCTACTCTTTATTGCAGTGCGCAGGCTTCTCTCATTGCAGTGGCTTCTCTTGTTGCGGCGCATGGGCTCTTGATGCGTGGGCTTCAGTAGTTGTGGCAGACGGGCCCAGTAGTTGTGGCTCGCGGGCTCTAGAGCGCAGGCTCAGTAGTTGTGGGTCACAGGCTTAGCTGCTCCGCGGCATGTGGGATCTTCCCGGACCAGGGCTTGAACCCTTAAGTGGTTAAGCGGATTCTTAACCACTCCACCACCAGGGAAGTCCCCCCTCTGCAGTCTTTATCATACTTTGCTTTCTACTTGTACATATATTTAATATTTCCCTTTATATCACCTTCTCTTTTAAATTTAGTTTTTATTATTACATATGTCATGTAATATATAACATGTACTATTACCATATTCAATTATATCCTATTGTATTTATTAAAAGGAAGCTTGATATCACAACTGTATATGGAAAAACCAGACTCACTTGCTGTAAATAGAAGGTAGCTATAAAAAGAAACATAATGACAAGAAGACAGTTTTAACTTCTGGCTAGATTCCTCTGCCTGGTGATGGCTAGGAGCCTGAGGCCTGCTTCTGTTGAGAAGGGAGCCGGCAGCAAATGTTCGGGAGGTGTTATGTTACTAGGACCACGCTCGCTCGTGCTTCCGAGATAATCAGGATTAAACAAGGGACCAACGGGAGTAACCTTCTCAGTCTTCACTCTTGTTTGAGGAATCAGCTGGCCTCCCACCAGGCTCCTGGGTCCTCTGCATGAGAAAACACTCCCTTTTTAAGGAGTCTCCCAGGCAGCTGCCCTCATAGGAGGGGTCCTGGGTGCTTTAAGGATAGTGAATTATAAGACATGGTTCCTCACCCTAGGGTGACACTTGAGAAAGGAGAGTCACCCTCTCTCCTGTGTAGAAGCCCTGAAGTGCAGGGACGCATCGGAGCGGATAAGTAAAGGTTGCTGGGGGCGGGGGTGTCTCAGGGGAGATGGGCTGAGTAAAGAGCGGCGTGGGGCGGGAGGGCTTGAGTCCAGACAGGAAGCGTTCTCATTTTTTACTGGTTGGGGGGATCACTTGATTTTTCTCTTTGCCCCTCTGTAAACTGGAGTTAAAGATTCTGGATATCCCACAAGGTTGCTGTAAGGACAGAATTGAAAAATGCATAAAAAACGCACTTTCTCCGCTGTCGGATGTGATTGTCGTGAGTGGCGACACCGAGCACAGGGTTGGGGAGTGAGTTGGTGGGCTTTGAGCAGCAAGCACAGGGGAGGAAGGATGCGGTCAGGTGGCCACAGGATTGCCCGGGGACGGGGAGCCGGGGCAGTTTGGTAGCAGCAGGGTCCTGGGCTGCAACCAGGCATGAGTAAGCCTCACTCCTCCATCCGGGCTTTTGCAGGAAAACCTGCCACCTGCGCTGCAGCCACACCTCAAAGACATGGGGGAAATCAGCAGGCTCGGGGGCCCCCTCTAATCTGCGGGCTGCTAACACGATTTCCAGGAAAGCTCCATTGCCCAAGAACCCAGAGCTGCACAGGTAGAAATGCTGCCGCCTTGTGGCCGTTTCCCGCGCGGGGGGGGGGGGGGAGCGGGGGATCCACCATGGCGTTATCAATGTCCCCGCCCCCTGCCAGGTACCAGGATCATCTACGACCGGAAGTTCCTAATGGAGTGTCGGAACTCACCTGTGACCAAAACGCCCCCGCGGGACCTGCCCACCATTCCCGGGGTCACTAGCCCTGTGGGTGATGAGCCCCCTACAGAAGCCAGCCGGGACCACCTGAGCAGCAGCCCAGAGGACAAGCCGGCAGGCGGTGAGTGGCCGGGCTCGGCCAGGCTCTCCCTGGGGAAGGGAATGCGTGTGGTCCCATCCGCTCAGGGGGAGTTCCAGGAAGGGGAATGATGCTCCTGCGTGGAACGGCCCAGAGTCCAGAGGGTGCGGGTAGGGACTGGAGTGTAGAACTTTCATCGGAACCAGCTTTCCCAGGGAAAGGGGCCCAGGAACCGGAGGAAAGGCGATTTGGCCTCAGATTATCTCAGTGGGGAGCTTGCCAGGGGATCACGCAGCCACTTTGATAAGCACTTTAATAACCTTTGTGTAATTGTCCCTGAAGTGTTTCCGTGTGTCTGTGATACTCGGAACCCACCCACGATATTTGTGGGCGGGAGGTGACATCAAAGCCACCGCGTCCTCGCCCTCTAGGAAATTACATGTCTGTGGGATCAGAAAGGCATCCGGGATGCCTTCTGTTAGGGTGTCCATAGCGGATTCTGGAGACGGTAGAAACAATGCAGCCAGTTGTTTCTGCAGGTACCACATGGGGTAGCTGGGTCCTTCCTGGTGTCCATTCCCCACACCCCCTGCCAAGCGATCAGAGCAGCCACCCCAGCAGAGGTGTGTGAATGCCCTCTTTGTGGCATCGGGACTGGCTGGCCGGAGCATCTGTGCGCTCCCACTACATGGAGGACGCAGCATAAGCACTCGCAGACAACCTGAGTCAGTCTGGAGGCCGCTGACCCTTCCCCCAAAGGCAGTACACCAAGCCCAGACAGGAAGCAGCTGGGACTGCAGGCTGGGCTGGCTCTGCTGACAGCAGCAGAGAACCCATCTCCCCAGAACCCATCGCCTGCAGGATGTGGTTCATTGTTAACTTGGGAACCCCACCTCCCAAGACGGGCCCCAGTTGCCTTGCCTTCATACTTGGAGAGCCTTGGAGGGAAGGGAGGTGGACTCGGGCACAGAGCGCAGTAGGAAGGACGGCCCCAGGCAGCGCAGTTCCCTGCCCTTTGTTACAGGTTGGAGAGAAGGAGGGATAGAGTCACGTGGTCGGTCCCCCGCTTAAACCAAAGACTGGTAGTTGAGGATGGAGGTTGTCAACACCTGAAATGGTTGTGTCACCACTACCTGAAGGCTGTCCATCGCCCGCACTTGCACACCCTCTTCCCTCCCAGTTTCTAGAACTGCTCTGGCCCATAACAAATGCGGGTTGGCCCATAACAAATGCGGGTTAGCCCAGCAGTGCCCCAGGCCAACAGCTCTGACCCCACAATAACAGCCTAGTGGTCTGCATGGTTGTTGGGATGGGGTGTAGTGGAGGAGGGGGACATGATTTTCCATTTTGCTTAACTGGCTATGAGAAGCCAAGGCTCCTGCCCTTGGGCCCACATATTTGTGGGTAGACGAGGGTAGTTGTTCCCCTCTGGGGGTCACAGCAGGCATCCTGCCCTGTGGAACCTTGGAGCAGCGTTGGCCAGGAGATCGTGAAGAAGGCAGTTCCATTAAAAAGGAAAACAAGGGAATTCCCTGGCGCTCCAGTGGTTAAGACTCCACGCTCCCAGTGCAGGAGGCCTGGGTTCAATCCCTGGTTAGGGAACTAGATCCCACATGCCACAACTAAAAGATCCCTCATACGGCAACGAAGATCCCGAGGGCCGCAACTAAGACCATGCACAGCCAAATAAATAAATAAATTTAAAAAAGAAAAGAAAAAAACAAGCTGCCGCAGCATGAATTACTTAAAAATTTTAATGGTAAGAGTTGGACAAGGGCAGTGAGTGGCTGAATTACCCAAATAACTTCTGTATCGCAGGGTCAGGCTATTCTGTGGGGAATCGGATGTATGCCTAGTAGGTTAGGGTACCACTTTCTAAACCAGAAGTTGGGACATGTGCTCAGAAAGGACTTATGTTTAAGAAATATTTGGGAAGTTGTATTTATTTCAAATCACAAGGAGCCATTCACTCTTATTACAAAATTCAGGGCTGTCACCTCTCCTGTGGGGAGACGTGGTCTCTGTGCTTCATTTGGGATTGGGGGAGGAAGCACAGCTGGACGTGTCTTTCCAGGAATTCCTGGTCCTGCCCTCTCTCCTTTCTCCTTGGAAGCACAAACCTGGCCCTGCTCTCCTTGTGGGAACAGCAGAATGGGAAACCAGGCCTCTTCTTGGCCTCTAGAATGTCAGCGCTACCACATGCCCATGGCTCACCTGGCCCTCTGTCTCTTCTCTCCCCAGGTGAAGAGTCACAATTTGAGATGGACATTTAAAGGGCCAGCCGTCGGAGTGAGCAATGCCGCTGGGCCCCAGAGGCCGTCTCGGGAGAAGAGTCACACCAGCCAGGCCTTATGAAAGTTACCATCCTGGGCAGGCGTCGGGTGTGGAGCCTTCCAGCCCCGCCCGCTGCTCCCTCACTCAGGGCACCTGCTCCCCTCCCCCTTCGTGGACACCAGCAGATACCTCCATGTGCCTCCAGCCCTGCAGGAGCTGTCACCCCGAGGGCAGTGACCTCAGGCACATCCTGCAGCCCAGGGCCAGCTAGTGGACACGCTCCGGCTCTCCCAGCCCCCTCCTCCAGGGGGCGCACCCACCCCTTCCTCAGGTTGGTGAGTGGGAAAGCTCCCCTCCCCCTCCCTTCCCAAGAAAGGAAATAAAAGCCTCCTTTGCTCTAGGGCCAAGAGTTGGCGCCTGTCTGAGCTCTTTTCAACTCCTTGTGGATAGCTAATGCCAACTACTCTGTGCCATGCTTGTCAGGCACTTTCTATACAGCATCTCACTTGACTGTCAACATGGATCCCGTGGGGTGAGTAGAGCACGTGTTGGCCTCGCTGTCCAGCTCGGGAAGGTAACGGCGCACGCAGGTCCAGGACAGATGTCATCGGGGCAGGTTGGAGCTGTACTAATCTCCATCTCCTGTTTTGCGGTGCTAGGTGCTACCTCTTTTCTGGGCTGTGTCCCCCCCAAACGTGTCCAGTGGCTCAGTCACCTTAGTTCTGCAGGCCCTTCCCTGCAAGCATCAAAGGGAAGGAGAGCCTGACCCCCCTGCTGACATCGACTTATTGATCCACGTGCCCTTGGTGTCTGTCAAGTGTCCCTTTGTATGAGCTGCCAGGGGAACACGGATGTGAGAAGCTCTCTGCCTTGGGGATTTCACTGAAATGTAAGATTTGCCCATGAGAAAAGGTAGCATAAAAGAGGTTGTATACAGTTGGTAAACAGCAAGTGGTCCATGCAGGGGGAGGCTTCATGGAGGTGATGCTACAGCTGGGTCCTGAGAACGACTGGCTGGGGGGAGGCAGGGGCCCATGTTGCCAAGGGCAGGTGGTCTTGGGGAACCAGGCTGTACAAGGACAAGACATCGAGTTCCCCGCTTTGGCCAGAGGAGGCAATTTGTGAGGGTAGGGGTGGCTTATAAATGACCAAAAAAGGGGGGCTAGATTTCTAAGGGCCTTGAATGCCAGGTAGAGGTCTCTGCTGAGAAGCAGCAGGTGTTTCTCATCACAGGGTATGTTGGGGGGTGGATGGCCTTTGACCACGAGGGCATGGCTGACCTGGACCTCACCAGCTCTGGACTCAGCACTTGTCAGCCTGCCGTTTGGGGAGCAGAAGGCCTTAGTGGGCAGGTCCCTTGCCTAGTTTTTTTCTATAGCTGAGTTGGAGTCTCCTCTCCTGGCAAAGACTGTGACGGCAGCTGGAATCCCCGTGCCTGGTGACAGTGTGCAGAAGGACCCGGCCGTGGGGACATGTTGACTCCAGGCATGCAGCACATCCTTTTCCCATGGCTAGGGAGTAAGACGGTGGAGGGGCCACCACCTGAGCAAAGGCAACAGCTAAAGCCCCAACTAGGATCAAACTAGAGATTGGCCCAGTCTTCCCAATCCCTCAGCTTTCCCCTAGAAGCATCTCCCTCTCCCCTTCTGACATGCAACCAGAGGCCTTGCTCACAAGTCTACATGATCACAAGTGCATTCTCCTTCTTGGTCCTACCTCTCAGGATCCAAGGGACAGAGTATAAAAGTTGGCCTCTCGGGGGCTTTCCTGGTGGCGCAGTGGTTGAGAGTCCGCCTGCCGATGCAGGGGACACAGGTTCGTGCCCCGGTCTGGGAAGATCCCACATGCTGCAGAGCGGCTGGGCCCATGAGCCATGGCCGCTGAGCCTGCGCGTCCGGAGCCTGTGCTCCGCAGCGGGAGAGGCCACAACAGTGAGAGGCTCGCGGACCGCAAAAAAAGAAAAAAGTTGGCCTCTCTGACAATAAGAACATTCTTCACAAGTTGTGAGCCTTTCCCACAGAACAAAAGTATCTCCTCCAGAAAACCCAGGTATTTCTTGAACACCATCCTGGCTGGGTGCTGTGGAGTAGCAAAGGTCTGTGACACTGTCCTTGTCCTTGAGGAAGTTAAAATCTCGTTGGGGAGATAAGGCCCCCGTGGTCCCATTTAACATCCACTGAGAGAATCTAGGAAATTTAACATCCACTGAGATATTCAAGGAAACCTTCATAGTTGGGCCTGCCCACCCTCGGGCATCACCAAAAGCTCTGTTTTTGCATTTGGGGGACCCAGTGACAACTGTGGGGCAGGTGCCGCATGCTATGAACCAGGAAAATACAACTATTAAGCTACACTGTGTGTTTCCCAAGGAGCTTACAACCTGATCCAGAGATGAGGGGTACTGTGAGTGGTAAAAGGACACCAAGAGATGTCATAAAGCAATATTGACATGATTGTCCAATGCGCGGAGGCTGTGTCGATGCCATGGGTTAAGGGAATTGGAGAACCTTCATGGAGGAGAAGGGATTTTGTAGGACAGGTAGGGTTTTTTTAATTTTTAATAAATTTATTTATTTTATTTTATCTTTGGCTGCGTTGGGTCTTCATTGCTGGGTGTGGGCTTTCTCTAATTGCGGCAAGCGGGGGCTACTCTTTGTTGCCGTGCGCGGGCTTCTCATTGTGGCTTCTCTTGTGGAGCATGGGCTCTAGGTGCACAGGCTTCAGAAGTTGTGGCGTGTGGGCTCAGTAGTTGTGGCTCGCAGGCTCTAGAGTGCAGGCTCAGTAGCTGTGGCGCACGGCCTTAGTTGCTCCACAGCATGTGGGATCTTCCTGGACCAGGCCTCGAACCCATGTCCCCTGCATTGGCAGGCGGATTCTTAACCACTGCGCCACCAGGGAAGCCCAACAGGTAGGGTTTTAATGTAGGGGGGGGGGCCTTCCTGGATCATGGATGGCCTGAGGTACAGGGGCCAGGAGAGCACGTTAGCTGGAGGAATGTCAAAGCTGTTGGGTTTTCCGAACGTGAATGAAGAGGCTACCCCAGGGTAGTGCAGATGGGAAGAGGTATAGCCTCTGACCACTTGGTGAGGTGGAGGAAATCATGGTCTGAGTGACCCAGAGAGGAATGCCAGTTTAGGGGTGGCACAGAGTAAGCAGTGAGAAGGCCAAAACAGAACCTTGGGGAATGTTTCTAGCAAGCACAAGCAGGGCGTAGGGGCCTGATCAAATGATTTTTCTAATCTCCACTGCTGTTGGCACAGCTGTGGGCATACCTCCAACTCCCAGGTAGCCAGACTGAGGTTCCATTGTAGGCCATCTTTCTACTGGTACCCTCTAGTGTGATGGTCACCGCTAAAGGACTCAGAAAAAGGCCGAAGGACACAGGGCCAAGCACGAGGTCCCATGGTCTGAAACGAGTACTTCGGGAAGGGCGGGCTTCATCGACAGACCCAGCATGGGGTCTTCTCCAGCTAAGTCCACCCTTGTTCTGATTTAATGAGCCTTTGCTAAACCTCATGCACACGCAGGATGATGCCAGGCCTTGAGGCAATACAAGAGAATTTCAAGACAAACACCTGAGAAAGTATGAAATAATCCCAGGAGGTGCGATTAAGTGCCAATGAGTGAGAGTGACAGGCCAGTGGGACAGGAGCAGGTGGAGAGTGCAGATGACATGGAGGCCGTAGAGGGGACCCAGTGAGCGTGGGTGTGTCTGGGATGGACATGGTGTGTGTAAGGGTGTCATGTGAGGCTGAAGAGTGTTGGGTAGCACCAGGTAAACTGAGGTAGCACAGGGTTAGATTATTAAGGGGAAAAACTGCTTGAATGCCTTCTCTATGTCTGGAGATTTACTACAATCTTATTTATCGTCCCAATAACATAAGGTGAGTGTTTTTATTTCCATTTCACACATGTCCATGGCTAGTGTGTGTCAGAATTAGGATTCCAACTCTGTCCAGCTCCAAAACCCATGCTTTTTTAAAAATAAACTTATTTATTTATGTTTCGGCTGCAGTGGATCTTCTTGCTGTGCATGGGCTTTCTCTAGTTGTGGTGAGCGGGGGCTACTCTTCGTTGCAGTCCATGGGCTTCTCATTGCGGTGGCTTCTCTTGTTGCAGAGCATGGGCTCTAGGTGTGCGGGCTTTAGTAGTTGTGGCATGAGGGCTCAGTAGTTGTGGCTCACTGGCTCTAGAGCGCAGGCTCAGTAGTTGTGGTGCACAGGCTTAGTTGCTCCGTGGCATGTGGGATCTTCCCAGACCAGGGCTTGAACCCATGTCCCCTGCATTGGCAGGCGGATTCTTAACCACTGCGCCACTAGGGAAGCCCAAAATCCATGCCCTTTGTACCATATTGGTTGGAACTGAGGTCTGGGCTTTAGGAGATTGGTAGCATTTTCTCATTTGTGCAACAGTTATTTATCGAGTGCCTACCGTGTGCCTATGTGCAGGCACTGTTTTAGGCACTGGAGAGCAAAGCAAAGCCCTGCTTTCCAGAGCCAACCTGGCGAGGCAACATGCCTTTAGCGATTGAGGCAAGTGTGATTCTTGCTTTGTGCATCCAGCTTTCATTGCTGAAATCACAAACCTGGCCTCCTCAAAATAAGCTTCAGGATTTAGCGCGTCCAGGGCCTCCCTGACCCCCCTCAGAGGACACGTGCCCCTGCTTCAGGACAATTAATCCCATGTGGAAGAGCCAGCACCCCAGGGATAGGCAACAGACGCCTCAGTTTCTGGAATTAACTGGAACAAAGCCTCTCCCCTCTCTGCAGCCAGTTGAAGGAGTGTGAGAAGGTGAGAAAACTGCAGATTAATTGGAGAAAAGTGTGGCTCTTCAAGATTAGGTTGTTTTGGGACTTCCCTGGTGGTCCAGTGGGCAAGACTCCACGCTCCCAGTGCAGGGAGCCCAGGTTGGATCCCTGGTCAGGGAACTAGATCCCACACGCATGCCGCAACTAAGGAGTGTGCCTGCCACAACTGAGACCTGGTGCAGCCGAAATTT